AACTAGGCCAGAGAGGGATAGAGTGAAAGAGAAAGAGAGAAAGAAAGAGAAAGAAAGCTGCCAGGTCTGAGACTCAAACCATGTTCATCCATGTAGGAGTCTAGCTTCCTTAACCACCACACCATCTGCTGGCCAAAATATTTAAAATTTATTAGAGTTGATGATTTGCTCTTCTTTATCTAGTACAATTTTCAGATGCAGCAAGCACTTTCTGGTATCATTTTTGATACCCTTGTAAAGGAATTTGAAATTTGAAAATTTCAAGCCATCAAGTGTCACAGACACTTGTTCTGTAACTGTGGATATGGCAGTGACCAGAGCAAAAGCATACTCAGATATCATGGAACTTATATTTTAGCTGGCGTTATTATAATAACAAAATAATTAAGTGCTGTAGAGAAAACTAAAGGAGGGTTAGGGAAACAAGGAATTAGTGTACAAACATTGGTATTTTATACGAAATGATCTGAGAAGATACAAAGGCCCTGAGAGAAAACATGTTTGACTTATTTGAGGATATAATATGAGGGGAAGCCCAGTGTTCCTGGGGCACAGTAAACAAGGTGAGTATGATGAGAAGAGATTATTTCATTTCATTTATTTCATTTTAGGAGTTGGTCACCTTCAGAGATGTGGCTGTAGATTTCTCCCAAGAGGAGTGGGATTGTCTGGATTCTTCTCAAAGGCATCTGTATAGTAATGTGATGTTGGAGAACTACAGGGTCTTGGTATCACTGGGTAAGGATATCTTCTGCTTATCAAATTGAGCTTCTACCCTACTGATAAGGGAGGGGCTCTTTGCTACCACCACTGTGAATTTCTGGATTGCACCTGCAAAGTTTGGCTGAATGTCTGCTGTTTATGCTAAGCAAATGTTTTAATATTTGTGGAGTTGACAGTGGATAGGTATATAATTGACCAAGCCTAAAGTTTTATCTTTCCTCTTGTTCTCCTCCCCACCTCCTTCTCCTCCTTCTTCTTCTTCAAGTGAAGTATGTTTTTATTTAAATCACATATAGATATAATTTTTTAAAGAATTATTTTATTTAACTTTATTTATTTATTTAAATTTGAGAGGGACAGAGAGAAATAAAGAGAAAGTAAGAAAGCAAGTCACCAGGTCCAGGACTTCTAGCACCCTTAACCACCATGCCACCCATCAGCCCCCAGGTATAATTTTTATGTATTTATTTATTTATCAATCATTTTATTTGTGATTTTCAAGCTGCCAGGTCCAGGATTCAAACCGTGGTCAGCCATGTGGGAATCCAGCACATTAACCACCACGCCATTTGCTGGCCCTTTCCTATTCTTCTAATACATGTTCTTAACACATTTTTCTTTAGCTTACTAGAAGCTCCCTGTTCTGTAATGATCAAAGGATTGGGATATGTATAGCTGACCAAATTCTGTTTCTTTTAATATATGCAGGCCTTTGCTTTTCCAAGCCAAGTGTGATATTATTGTTGGAACAAGGAAAAGAGCCCTGGATGGTAAAGAGAGAGCTGACAAAAGGTAGGTGAGAAAGAAATAGGCAAGCAAATACCTTTGTAGGTAACAGCTCAACTTGACTCTTCTGCATAGTCTTCTCAAATGTTCTAGACCTTAGTATAAACTTGAGGCCTTTTAGGATGTCCCCCCTTTCACACTTTTCTCTCTCCTTTCTAATAACTCATTTTTCTATCCTCTGAGTCTCACTCCCTCTCAGTTTTACCATCGCTTCCAGTCTTTAAAAAAACTTTTTACTATTCCAATTAATGTTTGCACTCTATAGACAGCTGTAAATGAGCTAACTGTACTTAATATCCTGTTACTTAACATGTAGTAAAATTTTAAGAATGGTACATAATCTCTCTTTGCTTTTTTTTTTGTTTCTTGGGTTTTGGGTGCAGGGTTTTTTTTTTGTTGTTTTTTTTTTAGAGATTTTTGCCATAGGGCACATGTGCCTGCTGGAGAGACAGAGACAGAAAGTGAGAAATCACCCTCCCAGAGGGGATGGCCACACTGTAGTCCCTTCTTCTCCATTCTCCTCTCAGGATTTTGGGCATGCATGCACACGTGCCAGGCCTGAGTTTCAAGCTGCAGGGTTCAGGACTCAAATCACAGTCAACTACATGGGAGTCCAGTAATGTAACCTTTTCACTATCTCCTGGTCCCCTTTGCTTTTGTTTTGACGCTTGTAAAATGGAATAATACTTGGAAGCTTTGAACAGTTCCATCTCAGTATGAATTCAATAGCCGTTAGCTGCTAGTAGTAGTAGTGATAGGAGACCTTCACATGCCTCCTTTTCCTCTGAATGTTCATACATTCTGTCTTTTCTTTAATCAATATTTATTGAATTTGTACTTTAATCAGGGTATTTGCAAGGAACTAGGATGTTATATGTATATACAAATAGTGAAACAATTGATAGGCCAGAAGCAGAAGTGTAGTATAGCTATAAATGGCATATATGACAGGAAAAGTGATACAAAGAAAGCTCCAAGAAAGAGGCAAAAAGCATAAGAGTCTGGGTTACTGGAAAGATTTAATGAAAACAGGTCAGCAGCTAGAAAATATTTGAGGGAGCAGAGAATAAGATTTTAGCTTTATGGTGTGAGACGGGTTTTCAGATACACATAGGCCACTTTAAGGCAAAATTGAGGGAGGACTAATAATCTTTTTTTTTTAATATGCAAATAATATGTTTTCAATCTCAGAATGGGAATTGATTTCTTACAGTTTTTTGGAGATTTTTAGCTACTTAAAAATATGGGAGGAAGAAGAGTAAATATCCTTATACTTTTATCTTTTTTGCAATTAGCCAAATATATCTGTCTAATTAGTTCTTTTTTTTCATTTTTTTTTACATTTTTCCACAGTCATTTACTTTACATATCAAAAAATTTTAACTCATGTTCTTGACAGTTAATAAACAACTTTCAAAATTTCAAAATACTGAATTTTAAAGATAATGCTCAAAATATTTCTTATAACTTTGTATAATTTTGTTTGTGACTCTATAACAACAGAAACAGTATGGTTTTAAATAGTTTTGAGAAAGTATTTACATGTCAGCTACTCAAACTGTTGAAAAGAAAATGCCTAGCATACTAGTCACACATAAACTTTCTCAATTCAGCCCTGCCCAAGTATTCTGTGATTTACCATCTGCTAGCCAAGATCAGTCTCTTTTTCTTCCTTCAAAGTCTTTCTCAAAATAATCGTCTGGTGTGTTTGCTCTTTTGCAATCTCTACTGATTACAATTCTGGGCTGGAAAAGTCCAGGTTATTTTATGTTATAAATTCTTTCATAGATCTTTTCTAATCCTCTCTGCCAGGCAGAACTATGGTACCAGGCTATCTGTCTAAGAGCTTCTGTTAGCTTACTTGAGATCCACCTTAGTTCCATAGTTTTCTGATTAATCTTCAGATATGACCTTCCAGTCAAAGCCCTGTCCAATAATGAGTATTTCCAATTTCTGAATCAATGCAACACACATTATTGAACTTATGCAAATAAACCTTCTGCCATAAAATAAGGATATTCC